GTGCTGCAAGCAAGGTTTGAAGGTTAAAGCTGCTGAATGAAAATTAGAGCTGAGCTTGGGTGCACTCCTTCTACAGCCCCCGGAGTGAAGGAATCTTAGTCCATTTATACCATTTCAGCAAACTGGAAAAGAATGCCTGGTATAGGGCCTACCATAAAAAGGGATTGAATCAGTGCTGGAAAGATTAACTACTTCGGCCCATTGCATATGACCCACTATGTATATGGCTTCATAAATAATTACAGGGATTAAAAATGAAATAAACATTCATTTTTCACAACTCAGAGCAGGTAGTCTTAATTATAATGAGTGAATTAACTATGGGTTTCTCTGCTGTTTTGCTGGGGACTTTATTGCACTCAGAGGAAGGGGTTTGCTCAGGACCTGCACCTCCAACTTGCCAAAACTCACCGCTCAGGTTAAGCCAAGCAACTCCACCCAGGGGGGGCAGTTCTGGCGAGTTCAGTTCTGATTCTGTTTCTGAACAGCTGCCTGTACCTTTAATAAGATCTCGTCTAAGATATGAATGCAATTACTTCCCGGTTAACTTCTTTACCTCTTGATCTCACGATGTCTTGGAGGAGGAACCTGGAAGAATAGACAGCCTGGCTTTCAGCAATTCCTCAAGATACACTGTTACAGCGAGCCAGATCAAGTCTTTAGATGCAAAAGTCTTGGGGGAGAAGCATTATATAGACCCATTAGTCCTAATCAAGCCTCTTGTTCTCAAGATCTTGAATTCATTTAGTCTCTAACAATTTTCTCTTTTTCCAGTCCCACTCATTATTATCATAAAAAGTGCTTTTCTAAAGAATTGTTTCTTTCTTATGTGTCAAAAAAGGCCCATTTATGAACCGGAACACGGAGCTTATTTCCAGTTAATCTGTTCTTATAATAGGATAATAGAGCTTCAGGACCTGTTTGTGTTTCTGTGTGGCACAAAGCCAGCAGTCGTGCAGTATCCTCGTGAGGCTGATATCCTGCTGGTAGTTTTCAATGTTAATACGTGCCAATTAGGAGTGTAATATGAGTAAAGGTGAAAGGTGTCACAAGCAGATATTTGGCTACACTGCATTCAGAATGAAAATGATTGATATATATATAACATAATGAGCAATTACACCTCAATTAGTGACACAGCTTACTTGATGAGCTTTGTTTGGGTTAATTGTAACTCAGCCATGTTCTTTTTGCCGCCTAAAAGCAAAGTGCAATAATAAATGAACGCAGTATACTTTCAGCATACAGAACAAAGCTTCTCCTCTCTTAAATCGTTCTGTACATCAAAGAAACCACAAATTAATTTAAGTTCTCTTTAAGCCACTTGAAGACAGTGAATACATTATGGTTTCAAAATGAGTAAATTAGTACTAAATATATTTAAAAATCTGCATTTGTTTTCCAGATCTGCACTGGCCAAATGTAAGATAAGATCACTTTATTGGCCATATACAATTTCTTGTATTAGGAATTTGTCTTTTACCATACCCCAACTTGCTCTCCATGAGAGACACAGACACACAGACAGGGAGAGAAGCTTGGGGTCAGAGCACAGGGTCAGCACCCCTTTATACAGCACCCCTGGAGCAGCTGGAGTTTAGGACCTTGCGCAATGGGCCCAACAGAGTAGGATTCCTCTGCCAGCCACAAGTTACAAGCCAGAAACCTTCTGACCACAGGCGCAGATCCTTAGCCACAGAGCCACCGCACCACCCCAACCCCAATTTGAAAATTAATCATCCATGTGGAATTTTATTGAAAGCCTTTTGAAAATCAAAATATCGTTTTTTATTTGGACTCAACCTGAACAGTTTGAGAGCATAGTTCATGTATTGCTGACTCTTTCCACAGAATTCAGAGCTGAGGAACAGTGTCGGCGTGTGAGCCATTAACTAGTAAGTAAATGTTCATCTTGCTGAAAAGTGAATTAAAGAGATACTGTCCACATCATTTCAGGTGTGGAGCCTCTTGTGGTGCATTAAGAAGACATGAATTATTCTGTGAATGCAGTGAGATTTGTGTAAAATGTCGGGGTAATGACTATATTTAGAGATTGTCCTTTATAAGTTTTACTTTTTGAAGTTAAAATTGGTTGATGAACACTTTGTTTTCTTGTTCTGAACACATTACAAAATGACATCATTTCTAAAAACAATTTGATTTCTTATGTGAATGTATGTGGATTGCATGTTTAAGACGAGGGGTCTCCAGTCCTGTTCCTGAAGGCTGGAGACCCCTGGTCCAGGAGATTTTATAGGTAACCACCATCATTGGACAGTTGAATTAAAAAGCTCAAATGAGTTGGTGAGTGGCAGCTTTCTTAAGCAGTTTATCAGAGCAGAAGAACTGGTCATGTTGATCTCGTCTTTTCAATCAAGAGGCAGGCTGAGGTGAGAGAACCATTGGGGAGGAGTGAACATAATACAGTGTGTTTTGAAGTACTGTACAGTATATTCTCAGACTGTCAGGTTTAGTCCAAATAAAAGGTTTACGACATTCAGAAAGGATATTTTGATTTTCAGAAGCCTTTTGATCAAATTCCACATGAATGGTTAATTTTCCTTTTGGGGTTTGGGGTAAGGGTTAGGGCAAGCGCAAGTCAAGGGTACACTGTGATGTCTGCATGTCAGGTGACTATCACTTTCTCTGCCTAGGGCATTGTAAATAACTAGACAAAAACAATAGACAATAACTCTCTCTGAACATCTTTGAGATATTTTCATATCTTCCCTACTAACTCTTAAGACTTTCTTAAAAGAAAGCCCTACATTATGGAAAATCAAGGAATGGGTAATGTATTCCCATTTTTAAAGTAACAGTTTGTGATCTGCCCTCTAGAACATTAAGAAAAATGAAAAATACAATGAAAGTGCTGCAAAAACACTTAATTTATATTTAAGATAAATTAGAATCAAACAGTTAATAGTTTTGTTTCCAATGTGTTGAAGTCCTGTAAAGTTTGATGATTTGACCTGATTGTAAGTTTAAATTAAATATGAAGAATTCTTCTCTTATAGTTTTCTTCAGTCTTTGAGTAAGTTTACAGAACCTCGTGAAGAGAATGTAAAGATGCTTGTTTCGTTATCTGCAAAATGTAAATAAAATCAGAGGTGTTGCAGCATAATCACAAATAATTATTGAATATACTAACAATGTATAATCACATTTCCATTACTGTTGCTTTAATTAAAATAAACTTTACAAAGAAGTTACATGCATTATCATTTATCAACAGCATACTAGAAACAATTACACATACATCTAAATTCAAATAATATATATTTTTTAAATGTACAGTATTTGTCTTAAATGTAAAAATACAATTATCCATTCCATTAACAGCTTGCATTTATACAAGGTTACAAGTCTGTTTCAATTGTAATAAAATGTTCAAAACCTGGAGAAACATTTGGCTTGTCTCGAAATGAAGCAAAGGTTTGTAATTAGATTTAATTTGCTATAATTTACTCAGGGGTTGGTATTACTGGCCAGGGTGTTTTTTATGAGAATCAGGTATACAAAACCTGACAGCTAGTATTTATGGTGATGTTTTATCACAGGGCTTTTACAGATGTGTAGCAAATAACACAAAGACATCATTACAGATCCATTTAAAAAATGTGGCCATGCTTTTAGGTGACTGATTACTCACAATGTGTAAATATGCAAGTGGCTGTTTTCTCTCCAACAGGCTCTAGAGCTGACGTCACTGGTGCAGGGCTGCGAGGAGCTGAATGGAAAAGGAATCAAGACAATTGCCCAGGCAGGGAGCCCCTCTTCAACACGAGCTCAATTTCCAGAACAGGCATGAGGTGCCCCCTGCCAGCCCCTCCTGCCCCCGCTAGCTCCCCCCCAGAACATCCCTACCTGTGCCACCTGCCCCATCCATCACCCCCCTCCCCGGGCTATCTGCCCCTGTTCCACCTGCCCCATCCATCTGCACCTGTACCACCTGTCCCATCCATCTCCCCCTGCCCCAGCCAGCCCCCGCTATCTGCAGCTGTTTCACCTTCCCCAGCCTAGCTGTGCTACTGTGTTACCTTGGTTCACCCAGCTAACAGGTGTCTCCTGCTAGTGCCCTATGTACTGTATGTCTCAGAGCTCAGTAAAGAGAAAAGTGTTGGAACAGTGTACTAATAATAATAAAAATAAAAATAATAATTGCTTACA